AATGATAATTATAACATTTTATCATTTATCTTTCAATCAATCAATCATCTTGAATTTGATTTTATAATTTATCTTTTTGCGTCCAGAACTTGTTACTATTTGATAATTTTGGTGAATCAAATGAACATCAACCTGAGATATTAAATTCTCTAATAAATAAATAATTCTTGGTGAAGGGATAAATAAATTTTAAAAGGCTGAAAAAGTGAACATATATTCTATTCCTAACGTGTAGAATGTCCAGCCCTAACTTTGCTCTACATATATCATTTTAAACATCCTCAGTTAAATGAATCATAAGTAATTATTAAAATGGAAAATTAAAGGGAGCATGTATTCAGCTTATTATATATACGTGAAAGGGAAAAATATTTCTATTCAGTTTGTTTGGGTATTTATTTTAAATCAACATACCAGAGTGATAGAGTTCAATTTGAAACTACCCTTCTATTCCAATCTCAGTGTCGACTAACATATTTATTACTTCAAGAAAAGAATTTACAACTTGCAGTAAAGTTGAGAATTTGTCCATACTTCATATTGAATATGAACAGTTAATTTATTGTGTAGTTATCTATATCTTTGGGATTAAAAGAGGCTCCAGTCTAATCATATTCTTGTATAGGTCATTCGCCACATCCTTGAACTCATGTGAAAAGTTTATTAATTCTTGTCTTCTTTTCTTGGTTCACTTCGCACATCAAGGTGCGATAAAAGTTTTTAAGGTCTTTATGTCCTTACAATGGCATACCTAATTTGAATTTTGTCTTCAAGAGATGGTAGTATAGATCTTTAAGAATTTTTTTATTGTACCTTCAACAATTTGAGTAGAGAAAACTTGATTAATGTATGTTATTTAATCTGTATTAGCAAATATTTATAACAATAACTTTGTAAAAACATAAACAACAAAGTTTAAAACATGTACTCAAAAACAATAATTTATATCATAAGCACAAATTAATGAATGTAATAAAACATACCAGGATCTATAACAATAGAATGAAACAAAAAGGGAAAAATCGAGCCCACTAAATGCACAACGTACTCTTAAGGAAATTATTCCTCTCTACTACCCTAGGTGTAGGAATAGATCCTCTCACGGTGGAACAATTCAACTCATCAGTGTATTGATACAAAAACAATGGTTAGTATATCAGTCGGCTGATTTTGTGTTGAAACATAAGCAATCTTAATCAGCCCTTGTTGGAGTTTTTCCATGATGAAATGACAATCAATCTCAATGTGTTTAGTATGTTCATGATAGACTGGGTTAGAAGCTAATTGAATAATAGACTTGTCACTATATACTTGAACTAGTAAATGAACTTCAGTCTTTAACTCTTTCAACATTCCAACTAACCAAACTAACTCTGCTACAGTAGAAGCTAAGCTCCTGTACTTAGCTTCTGCTGAGCTTCTTGACACAATGGTTTGCTTCTTAGCTTTCCAAGAGACCACAAACTCTCCAAGTTTAACCACATAGCCAGTCACAGACTTCCTTGTAAGGGGGCATGCTGCCCAATCTGCATCATAATTTCACTACTACACTTACTAGATAGTAATATACCTTGATATGGCTGCCTTTTAATGTATTTGACAACTCTAAGTGCTGCATCCATATGAGATTTCTTTGGTTGATGTAGGAACTGACTCAAGGTTTGAACACTAAAAGAAATGTCAGGTCTTTGTCATGTTTAAATATAGCAGCTTCCCATCAGTTTTTGATAGGTACTTCGATATGTTAGAGGCTCCTCCTAATTTTGTCCAGTTCGATCATCACAGTGTTTTGATGTCAACTTTACATTTACATCCATAGGTGTTCCAACAGTCTTTGCTCCTGATAAACCAACTTCAGAGATAAGTTGAAGTGCATACTTCCTTTGATGCATGACAACCCCACTGTTTGACCTTACAAACTCTATTCCAAGAAAGTATTTCAACTCTCCTAGATCCTTCATCTTAAAACTGTGTTGTAAGGACCTTTTGTTTCCTCCACCAGCTTTAAGCTACTTCCTGTTACTAAGATATCATCAACATACACCAAAATTATTGTAGTTCCTTCACTAGTCCTTTTTGTAAACAAGGAGTGATCATATTGACTTTGATTGAAATGTAGCTTCTATAGAACTTATGCAAACTTTTGGTTCCATTGTGTTGGTGCTTGTTTATGCCCATACAATGACTTTTCCAGCCTGCATACCTTATTCTTATTCTCCTCCTGACTGGAAAACCCCTAAGGCATAGACATATATATTTCATCCTCTAAATCACCATTTAGAAATGCATTGTATACATCCATTTGATGTATATGCCACCCCTTGGACACAACTAAGTATAGAATGGTTCTTACTGTGACCATTTTTACCACAGGGGAAAACGTTTCTTTATAATCTATACCCTCATTTTGGCTGGAGCCCTTGGCTACAAGCCTTGCTTTAAACCTTTCTACTTCTCCATTAGACTTGTATTTAATCTTATAAATCCACATGCATCCAATAGCAACCTTCCCTGTAGGCAACTCCACTAGTTTCCAAGTGTTGTTATCCTGTAATGCCTGTATTTCAGCTTGCATTGCTTCAATCCACTTAGGATCTTTACTGGCCTCAACAAAGGGCGTAGGTTCTGTTAGCACATAAGTTGCAGCAACAAAGTCTTGATAATGCTTAGACAAATGATTATATGCAACACACTCATCTATATATACTTCAACTTTTTTCCATATTAGTGATACAAAATCTTTCATCCAAATTTGTGGATGAACTCCTCTTGTAGACCTTCTATTCACCACTGGTTGAGAATCATTAGGCATAGAATCATGATCTTGAACTGTCTGTTCCATTGTATCTTGTTCACTATCACCAATCAAATTTCTGTCTATTTGTTTATCACATTGACCTTCTTGTAAACACCTATGATCAACCTTTTCTTTGTCAATCATGTTATCATTGACTGACTTCCATCCTATATTCAGCATGTCATTATCCAAATTATTTACAAATGGACCTTCTTCCCTTTTATCTACAGAAGTTATGAAAGGAAAGACTGACTCTCTAAATATCACATCTCTATTCACAAAGAAGCTATTAGATGTCAAATCTAACAAGATATAACCCTTCTGAGTTTCTGAGTATCCCATATGTACTGCAGCCTTTCTCCTGGATGCTAATTTATCACTTTCAGTTAACATCTTAGCATAGCATAAACAACCTAATACTCTTAGATGAGATAGCATTGGGTTAATACTATATATCCTTTCATATGGAGATTTACCTCCCAGAACTCTGCTAGGCATCCTATTTATCAGGTAAGCAGTTGCAAGAACACACTGACCCCAATATTGCATCCTATTTATCAGGTAAGCAGCTGCAAGAACACACTGACCCCAATATCTTAAAGGAATTTGACCCTGAAACCTTAGAGCCTTAGTTACCTCTAAGAGATGCCTATGCTTCCTTTCAGCAACTCCATTTTGCTGTGGAGTATATGGACATGATCTTTGATGTACTATCCCTCTTTCTTTAAACAAAGTAGCACACACAGAATTCATAAATTCAGTTCCATTGTCAGACCTTACCATCCTTACCATTTTGTCAAATTGTGTCTTTAACAAACTTCAGAAAATAATCTAAAGCTACACACACATATGCTTTACTTTTTAACAGAAATAACCAAGTTATCCTTGAGAAATCATCAACCACTATAAGAAAGAACCTGTTACCATTTGTATGGACCCCATACATCCAAATGAATCAAACAAAAAAATTGACTACTTTTAATACTACTAATTGGAAACACACTCCTGGTCTGTTTTGCACAAGGACAGATTGTACACTCACTTAGCACTTTATTCACTACTTCTGAATTAACAGGAAAAACTTTACTCAAAACATGTGATGCTCCATGTCCTAGCCTCTTGTGCCATACATTCACTTCTTTTTCTGATAACTGGTGTGTCTCTAGCTTCTTAACAGGTACAACAAATGACTAATGCTTTAACTGATCTTGTGTCAAGTTCCTTAGCAGCAAGTACAAACCATCATCCTTTTTACCAACTTCCCCCACCTTGCCAGTGTAAAGCTCCGGAAACACATAAAAATGAGGGAAGAAAGTAACTGAACAATTTAACTCCTTAGTCACCTTACTTACTGATAGTAAATTGTACTTAAACTCAGGTATGTGATACACATTTGTAATCACACTTCTTGGAGATATGTGGCATAACCTAGTATGAGACACATATGAAACTTCCCAAGTAGCAAGTATATAAGTTTTGGCTCTGTCATCTTAACAACAGACTCATCAGTAAGCATATCTATTTTTGACACCATATGATTAGATGCTCCTGTATCTATGATCCAGACCTGGTTATTTTCAGAAACCAACAAAGCTTTACCTGCAGTATTAGCCTGAGTTTCATGAGCATGAGTTGTATCTTCTGACTTTGATCCACATCCTTGATTCTATTTTAGCATTTGCAGAATTTGATTATACTGATCTTTAGTGAAATTACACCCTTGTAACTGATTTGTACATTCCTTTATATTGCTCATATGGTTCTTCATAGACACATTAGTATTACTTTCATAGTTGAAAGACAATTCATCAGACACATTCTCATAACCATCATTTCTTGTGTTGTTAAACTCATTTCCAACCATGTAAGGTCCATTTCCTGTACTAGTACTCACTTTTCTTTTGGACTTGAAATCAGTAGGATACTCAATCAGCTTATAACATTGATCCTTAGTGTGTCCCTTGCATCTGCAAAAGTCACACACAACTGGAAAATTCTTCTTGAACTTGTTAAAACCTTGTGCACTAGAGCCTCCTACAGTTCTTGAATACATTGCCAGAGGATCCACTCCAGAACCACTCATAGAACTTAACCCTATACTCGACCTACTAGAGGTCACCTTTTGACACTCATCACTTACTATCATAGCATAAGCTTGATTTACTATAGGAATGGGACTCATCAACAAGATCTGACTTCTTGCCTATCCAAATGACTCAGTTAGTCCCATCAAGAACTGATACAATTTTTGTCTATTTAGATGATCCACAAACCCTCTTGCCTTTTCATAATTACATCCAAGAGGTGTCACCAAGGCCTCAAATTCATCCCACAGGGTTTTAAGTTTTGTAAAATATGCAGACACATAATCAGTGCCCTGTTGTAATGTTGCTATCTCTTTGTGTAGACCGAAGGTTCTTGATCCATCTAATTGATCAAATCTTTCCTTTAAGTCATTCCACACACCCTGAGCTGATGATGCAAACGGAACTCCTCCTAGCAAACTTTTTGACACTGAATTTAGAAGCCATGAGAGAACAATGGCATTAACCCTCTCCCACTGACCTCTTAGTTCTGCACTTATATCTTCTTGTTTATAAGATTCATCTACCAAACCAATCTTGTTTCTTCCAAGTAATGCTAACTTAATTGACCTACTCCACAAGGCATAATTCTCAATTCCAATAAGTTGGAATGAGATCAGATTACCCCACTGATATCAGCAGGACTCAAGAACAGAGGATGACTATATATAATCAACCCCTTGACTCATTGACATAGCTGGAATGGAGCTTGGATTTCTAGAACTTCCACCAACACTGCTGTTTCCAGTTGTCTGTTCCAGTTACACCTTGAGTTATGTTTGTAATCTTTCTTCTTCTTCAAATTGATTCACGGAAGCTAAACAAACTATCCAGATGAACATAATTCTCCAGATTCTAATCTTCAAACGTAATACACAGGTGACTTCTTTAAAACTTCTATCACTCGCTCTGATACCATGAAGTTATACTAAAACAGAAAGTAATATGACTGAAGAAGATGAAGATCTTTTTCTCATTCTTGAATTGAATATACAATGCCTAATGATATGTATTTATATATCTTCTTTGACTAACTAACTTACCTAACTTTTGTAACTAACTCTATAACTAACTTCTTGAAGGTACTACTAACTAACTTTGAACACACTCTTTCTTTTTAACTCTCTCAATAAAATCGCTCTATTTATAGATAACAAAGGGTAGTGTGAACAAATGTTTATTTTGCCTTATCGAAAAGGTCACTACAATTTGGAATAGTTTCAACCCTTCGTAGAGGTCACAACCTTTCATAAAAGTCACAACTTTTCATAAAAGTCACATATCTTCATAAAAGGCACAACTTTTCATAAAAGTCACAACATTTCATGAAAGTGGAAGGCTAGTTTTGGAAATAAATAAATTAAAAGGGAATCCTAGTTTGTGGTGGCGCCACGTAGGCGGGCCTAGGATTTTCTTTTATATATATATATATATATATGATTAAGTCAATATGTAACCATATTGATTCAAAAATCTTGTCAAAATATTTTTAATTTTTTTAAAATTTTGATATATTATATATAGCCATAATAAAGAGAAAAATAATTTTATTAGATACTTAAATATTTCAAAAGAACAAATAAAATATTTAAACTTAGTAAAAATTGAATTGAGTTGAATCTTGACTCTTTCTAGGACCTATCTGTGAAAATATCTCATTCTCTAGAACTCTACACGAGTAATCTAGATACTTTTACCTTTTAACTATCTAATACAAATCTAGATCTTATGATAAATATCGAAGATACTACAATAGGTCATTATCTTAGATATTACAATAGGTCATTTTATTACAATGATTTTTGAAACTATCTCGAAGAAAAGTATAACTTGACTCGTTTGGATCCAACTCGTTTTGACCCAACAAAGTTGGGTTGAGTTGTGACCCTTTTGTTGTCTTGATCCATTATGATCCGCCCAAATTTAATCCAGTCTGCCCAATTACCACCCATACATACTCGATATTCTCGACTGGAATTTCCTAAATTTTCTGGATTTGATCTGCGAACTTGGCTATATAAAGTAGATCAATTATTTGCAATAGATGAAGTCCCTTTTGATCAAAGGGTGAGGGTAACTTCCATCCATTTAGGAGGCAAAGTCATTGCTTGGCATAGGTCCTATCTAAGGTCTCGGAATTCAGTTCTGCATTCTATTTGGATTGAATATGTGCTATGTTTGAGTGAGAACAGGCTGAACTTGACAAACTACTGACTGCGGTGAGTCTGTCAAATGAAAACGCAATTAGTTGTTTTTTAGGGGATTGAAGCCAGAGGTAAACAAATTTGTAAGTGGAAATAACCTTGGAAGGAGGTTAACTGCCGCAGAAATGGAGGAAAAGTGGGCTAAGACCATTGAGTTAATGAATCAGAGCATAAAGCATGTGCTAAGAGGTACTGGTAGTCAGCTCAACGCAGCTAAGGCAAAGGCCTTGAACAAGATAAAGGAGGAAGACGCTATCTCTCCATGTTTCATTCCGCCATTTTACATACAACATTATTCCATATGTACTCACATTCTTTTTGACGGGGGAGCTGTATCTTTTTATTAATGCAGACTGATGTACGCAGATATGAGATCAGACAACACGCTAGGTTCTATATTCTTTGCTCTTGGTAAGCCCCTCTCTGTTCCAGGAGCTTAGTGCACAGTTTTCGAGTTCTCTAATCATTCACATCTCTCCTTAAAGTAATGTCCCATCCTGTTTCGTCAAAACTAACATATATAGTTTGAGTCTTCTAATCAGGTGACTTGAAATTTTTTGCTTTAAGTAAATATTGGCTGGATCCATTTGATAAGGGGTTAGTCATTTTAACTCAACTTTACAAGCAGAAAATCCTTGTTTACTAATACAATAATACTATACAAAATGGTTACGAAAAAAAACAAGGAGTTGTTTTATTTCTCTGTCTACTATCTTTCATTTTTCTCATTTCTAATCCTATTGGTTGACAAAATTTCACAGGCAAAAGAATTTGCACCGTGTTCATACTCATAATCTCCTTAAGTGGAAAGTGAGTTCAATGAACAAATCCTCTTTGCAAGGTATTGTGAGACCACCCATTGGATGATCAAAGCCAAACTTTTCTTCAGCTCGAGCTAACAAGTTTTGAAATAAAGGCTCACTCAGGTATGATACTGGCATGACAAATCGCTTCTTCTGGCTCTCTCCAACATATACTGTGCAATGTCCTTTTGGAACACCTCTAGATGTTGAAGGCCTCCTTAGAATTCGATTAGCCTGAATAAATGGATTCATTTTGATATCCATTATCTCAAGAAATAAGATGTAACTTGTTGCACCCAAATGCACACGCAAGTGCACATGGTCGCTCAATTAATACAGTGACTCTTTCGAGCCGAATTATCGAACCCAAAGGACTTCAAATCGTCAAACACTAACTTTGTTGTAACTAAAATAAATTTACTTATGTAACAGAAAGGTTCAAGAGTTTGTTTAAAGTATCAACATTAACACAATTTTCAATTATTAACTACTAACAATTAAATTAGTTACAAACGGGGATTTCACAATTTGGGAGAAATTCCAGGCTTTTAGCATGCACCGATTTCAAGTATAATAAAAATTATGCTAGCATTCGACAGGTTATCCTCATTATTGATTCACAAGGTTGAATTTACGATCATGGTCTCCCAACCTCTAATTGCCTACCACTATTGACAGCCTTACTACATTGTGGAGTGGGGATATGCATGAATCAATCGCGGAGCATTACGTTATAATCTTGTATATTAACCAAACGAGGCCTATAGGTATATTTCTATTCTATAGGCGAAACACTCTAAGTTTTTACCCTAGAATGAACACGTTCCTCACATTCCTTGGTTTATCCCTCCACTCGTCTTTCGAGTTCAAGAGAGGACAAAAAGTTTATTTCAATGTTGATCAGGCATAAAAATAGTAAAATCTAGAATGTAAGCATAAATCATAAGAAACCCCGTCTCATGCTAGAGTTAAACAATATTCTGCCATCAATCGTAGCTACAACCCTAGAATAAGGGAATTTAGCTACTCATAATATGATTCATCATAAAATAATGTTCAAAGATCATTAAAATATTTACCAAAATGAAAGAGTAGAAGAAAAACCCTAGAGTTCGTCAGCAAAATCGCCCAAATCGTGTTCTCCTCATTTTTCAAAAAATTGAATAATGATAAAATAATACAGTTGGACATACTATTGATAGTGTGAAATAAAACACATGATAAAAATTTGGAGTCCAGGTCCGAGACGCAGACTTGTTCCCTTGCTTCACATTTATAGAAGTTCATTCCTCCTTCGCGACACACCTATATCGCACAGTTCACTGTTTTGTGCACTTCGTTTGCCACACTCATCTTCCAACTCTGTGACGCTGAAATGTTCCCATACAGTGCATTTTCCAGCTTCTTGACCATTTCTCCTTAGCAACTTCAACTTCTATTTTCCTTTTCTTAGATGGCTTCCTTTTTTGCTCCTTTTCCTTGCTTTTGACCCTACAACAACCTAATCATAGTGGTTAGAGGACACACAATCAAATTACTCTAAAATTGCAATTCAAACTAGGAATTTGCTCTCGAACTTGGCTATAAATATGGGATAAATTAGTTATTAGGTGCATAAATACTCCTAAGATCATAACTCCAACTGATGAAGGAAAACAAAAGACCAAGAACTTTGAGAATTGCACAGAAAATATAAGTTTTTTTGAATGTCAGGATACTTTTGCATCATTGGATGGTAGTGCAACTGCCTCCACCCAGTTGGACATGTAGTTCACTGCTACTACAATGTATTGATTACCACGGGACAATGGGAATGTGTCACGACCCGGGAGCACCCCCAAGTCGTAACAAGGCGTACTCGACCCCGAAGGGGTCTTATACAAGCCACATAGTCATTCATTGCATTCAATAATGAAAATAGTGCGGAATAATAAAAAAACTTATTTACATCCACACATTTAAACTTCTTAAAACAACTTTAAAAACACACAGCGGAAGTCTAAGTCTCACATGGCCATCTTAGACACAAACAAAAACATAAATAGGGACACGGCCCTTTACAATCAAAACAAAACTAAAAGTGTCTATTACATGAACAAAAGAACTTAAAAGTCTTGTCCTCGAATCCATGAGGACATACCAAGTCTTGGAGGAAAGCAATCCAACACTTCAAACTAGCTAAGAGGGATCACTTGCCGGAACCTACACTTATAGAAAATAGAGAAATATGGAATTAGCACAATTAAGTACTAAGTATGATGACCATGCAAAACATGCTTTAAAAAGGGACATTTTAGTTAGAAACCATGCATTATGCCACCTTTTTGAAATATCATGAACAATAGCATAAAAGACATACAAGACAAGCATAACATCAAGTAAGTCATAATATCACCTTTAAACAATATCAACATGAAAACCTTTACCTTGGACCTTCACCTCAAGAAACCCTTATGCTATACCTCGTGCAATGTATGGATGGCGTCCCATACCACCATCCATACTAAGGCACCACATTTAGGTCACTTAAAGTAACTTATCATTCATTTCTTTCACCTTTGCACAATATTCATACATAAGAGGTATATCATTAATTAAGACATGACAAGGGAAAATAACTCGTAATATAACCCAAGTATAACATGCATAACATATTAAGCATTTAAGAGCCAACATTCTTTAATAACCTCATTTAGGGCACATTTATGTCACATACATTAGGATATAGAGAAACTCACTATGACCCTCTCCAAGCCTACTCGTGCAATGTATAGGTAGCATCCCATACTACTACCTACACTTTGTAGAACCTGTCAAGAAACCATAATGAAATCTCACATGATGGGAAGTAAGCATTTAACCGACATAGACCATGAGAGCTTGTCATGGAATCCGGTGTCATGAGTCCCCAC